TATGTGTGTATGCGTGAACACATGATTTCAATATATCATAGGTGTGTAAATAACATATAAACATATTAAATCTATCGTCATTCTGAATTTCGCATTCCTCAACAGATGTCGTCGTGGAACAACCCGAATCCGGTCACCCAACTGGAATCCACCAATCCATATGGCAACTACACGGTGGTTGACACTGCGCCCAAGGAGATTCTCCATATGGTGCATGAGCACTGGTACCAGTTCCCTCCCATGAATCCTCTTTGGTACGGCCTTGTTGGCTTCTGGATGGTTATCATGGGATGTCTCTCCATAGCTGGAAACTTCGTCGTCATCTGGGTCTTCATGAACACCAAATCTCTTCGATCGCCTGCTAATCTTCTGGTCGTCAATCTAGCCTTTTCCGACTTCTTGATGATGCTCACCATGTTCCCTCCTATGGTGGTGTCGTGTTACTGGCAGACATGGACTCTTGGGGCACTTTTCTGTGAGATCTATGCCTTCTTTGGTTCTCTTTTCGGTTGCGCTTCTATCTGGACCATGGTGTTCATCACTGCTGATCGATACAATGTCATTGTGAAAGGAGTTTCTGCTGAACCACTGACGTCTGGAGGTGCAATGCTAAGGATTGCTGGTACATGGTTCTTCGCCTTTGCTTGGTGCCTTCCACCATTCTTTGGCTGGAACCGTTATGTCCCCGAGGGTAACATGACTGCATGTGGAACTGACTATCTGACAGAATCGGAATTTTCTAAGAGTTACTTGTATGTGTACTCAGTTTGGGTGTACATCTTCCCTCTCTTCTACATCATCTACAGCTATACTTTCATTGTCAAGGCTGTTGCTGCTCACGAGAAGGGAATGCGAGAACAGGCCAAGAAGATGGGAGTCAAGTCGTTGAGGAGTGAGGAAGCCCAAAAGACCTCTGCTGAGTGTCGTCTGTGCAAGGTTGCTCTGATGACTGTCACCCTATGGTTCATGGCCTGGACCCCCTACTTCGTCATCAACTGGGGAGGCATGTTCAACAAGCCCATGGTTACTCCTCTGTTCTCCATCTGGGGCTCCGTCTTCGCCAAGGCCAACGCCGTCTACAACCCCATCGTGTACGCCATCAGCCACCCCAAGTACCGAGCTGCCCTTGAGAAGAAGCTACCTTGCCTTGCCTGCAACACTGATGGCAGAGACGGTGGTGGTTCTGATGCTGGTTCTACTGCCACTACTGCCGAAAATAATGAAAAAGCAGAATCCGCTTAAGAAGAGAGACCAATGGATCCTGACATCGACTGTGAAAATCGCCGAACGTTTTTCATGTAATCCCTTTCTTTTTTCTGAACTGCAAATATATCCCAGCATTGATTTATATTTAATTTGCCTGTGGAAGTAGGTTACAGTATAGACATATTTCATTTGAGACTTCTTCAGTATGGAAATTAAATTTAAGTTTTACGTAACACTTTAATTTGAAAATTAGATTTCAAACTTATAGATTGGAAACAATGAAAAAAAGGTACAGGAAAAAATTACATATATATATATATATATATATATATATGTATATATATCCGTACATATACATACATAAACATACATATGTATATATATCATATTTTCCCACTTATATACATTCAGTATATGTATATTCCTATGTATATATTTGCATATCATGTTTATGTATATATAGTACAAATTTCTGTATAAATGTAAATATAATACATTTAATCATATATATGTATATATATATATATATATATATATATATATATATATATATATATATATCAAAATGTATGTACATGTATAATATACATATACATGTACATAAATATGTAGATATATAGGTAAATATTCAAAAATGTTCCCCAAATGAGAGAGCACTTCATATGTAAAAAAGGGAAAAAAGGGGGGGGGGGAGGGGAAGGGAGGAAGAGAAAGGAAGAAAGAAAATGGACGACAGATACATCCTTCATCAATTCCAAGCGGGAATATTGCGATGAAAAAGGTAAATAATAGCGAGTATATGTCTTTTCTGTCTGGATATAAACGAAGTAGACTCACTTTGGTCTGATTATCAAATGTCTACATATAATACATATATATTCATACATGTTTATCAGCATACTAAAAAAACGTGCATAGACGTACACATCCATATATACATATTACACATATATATATCTACATACATACATACATACAAACACATACACACATATATATACGTATATATACATATGTGTACACACACATATATATACTGTATGAATATAAATATATATACACACACATATATACATACGTACATACATTATATACATACATACACATACATGTATGTGTACATATGATATATACATATACATATAAAAATATATATGTATATATACATATGAACATATATTTGAATATATATCTGTACACTTATATGTATATATTATACATATATGTGTGTGTGGGTGTATGTGGGTATATGTTTGTGCGTGTGTAGATAAACAAATATGTAAAACACTGTAGA